TAATTCGGATATACCCAAATACTTGATTTTTTTTTTGTACCTAATAAAGATTATTTCTCCATCTAATAATCATATTTTCACAACGGCTTTTCCTGTTATATGAACATCTCATGTAAAAGGAGTCCCATCTTATACAATTACCTACACGGTTAATCAATCACCTCATACAGTCATTTAAAAGAGAAATAAAAAAAATGCATATCTTCTATAGATCTTTTCATCTTTTCCGATTTTTATATTTTATTTTTGTTTTTAGTTTAATATATAGAGTTATGTGTTTCAAAAATTTCTTTGAAATTATGATCTGCATTATAGATTTTGTATTGCTTTCACTTAAACATAAATATGGATCACGATTTGTATTTATTTATTCATTTGGTTATACTATGTATAAAACAAACTTCTTTTCTAGAAACCAAAAAACATTTGTGATTCTAATAAAACAAATCTATACCATAAAAAAAATAAAAACAAACGGTATGTATATAATCATAAAGGAACATCAATTCTTTGTGGCGGCAAATGGACAGCTCCATATAATTTAATTTTTTTATTATATATTTTTATTTAAAAATAAAAGGTTATAATAACGATAAATGCCATTTTTTTTTCTTGGTATCCTAAGCCTTTATATTTAATTTTTCATTCTTTCCTTAGTTGATGAAGAAAGAGCAATCATCCAGACTGTTCTTCTAGATCTCCTTTCAAGAATCATACACTGGATGAGTAAGCTAATTACCCGATCTATAAAATCCTTATTTTTAAGCAATTTGCTACAAAATTAATGAGTAATATTTAATTTAAATAATCATTTATTTACCCGATGTATTTATACTTTTAGTCCATAATTACCCGAAAAACCAGAAACCAAACAAGAGGCATATTAGGAGGCGATAGTGTGACGATGTGTGACGACTAATGAAACTCTTAAACTTGAGTAAAGATATAAAGGAGTATAATTACTTTCTTAATGTTTTCACTACCTCGTCAATCGATCTGAAGAACTGTGAGAACAAGTCAACGGTAGCTACCTACTCAAATCGATCCAAGTTGAAAGAATAAATTCAAGTACTTTTGAAGTTGAAGTATAAACTTGCAATGTAAAGAGCTAGAAAGGGTTTCTGCTAAAGTTTGGTGTTGCAGGGGATCTGAGGTACGCTCCCCAAACTGATAAATTGATGAATTATAAGTTACCAAGAATGAAATTGAAGCGTTAATGAAGTTTTATATAATTTATCTAGTAAATTTTATCAAATAGTCAAAAAAAAAAAAAAAAAAATGTAGATCCGGAATGTGAAAAACGTATTTTGACCTAATTTAGTCAAAGTTGTGAAGTTTGGGAATTAGTGTAGTTAGATGATCAAATTAAACAGTCCGTGAAGTTAATATGTTGCTGTGTATGTTATAAACGAAAAGAATTTGGAGGGAAATGAGTCTAATGATGTGTGTATGTGTTGTGGATACAGAAAGAAAGTGAAACAGGGGCTGATCCAATGTGCGCTGCTGTGTGCTTGTTGAGCAAATCCAAGTACGCTTGCCAGTATATGAATTTGGGTATTGCTATGTATGTTTAAGCACCAAATACTTAGGAAACTCATTATTAGTACATAACATTATAATTGGATTGGATCAAAGGTAACCAACTGTGGTGTTTCTAATCGAGTCTGGTTGGTGATGAAAATACTCGTTTTGGTGTAAACATATGTAAAGGATCTATCATTGGGACGTTTTGGTGAGTTCAAGTTGACCTTTCTAAATCGGATACAAGTTATAGGTGTTGGTGGGAAGGTAAAAGTTCTTAAAATAAGCCTTGCGAAACCCATATATTGGGGTCGTATGTTTATACAATGGTAGTAAATCAATAGACTTAGTGGTGTCCTATTTTGAAGGCTATATATGTCCTCTTGCCTTAAGAGAGATAAATGTTGACATCAAATTATAAATGTGAACATATATCTTGTGCTCCAAACTTAAAACATTATTATGTTTTGAGATTTTAATAGGGTTAATGTCATAAAAACCCTCAAGTTTACAGGATTTTGTCGGTTTTGCCAAAAGTTGAATTTTATGTCCGTTTTTACCCTAACATTTTAGAAAAAATGTTCGGTTTTACCCTTTTACCGGTAATAATAGGTTTTCCAGGTTACCATTATATTAAATTCGCAAAAAAACCCTTAAGTTTACCCTTTTTTACGTTTTTACCCTTAAGTTTATATTTTTTTTACACTTTTACCCTAAGTATTTTTTTTCGTAATATACGTATTCATGTAGAAAAATCGTATTTATATACGAAAAAATGTTTAATTAAATAATGTATTTATATTTTTTTAATGTTATATATATATATATATATATATATATATATATATATATATATATATATGTGTGTGTGTGTGTGTGTGTTTGCAAGGTTATACCATTTAAAAAGATAAATAATATTTTTAGAATTATGAACACCTGTTTTATAGATATAGTTTTTAGAAGTATAAATACATATTTTTACATTATTATATATAAATATGTATATATACTTCTAAAAATATATTTATACTTAAAAAAAACATATATCAAAATACATATTTACACTTCTAAGATTATATGTATATACTTATATAAACATGTTTATGATTCAACAAGTTTTTTTATTAACATGTATATTTTTAAATGCATAAAAATATGTACTTGTAGTTCTAAAAACATATTAATTTGCGTTTTTTTTACATCTTAAGTGATTTATCCAAGAAAAAACCCACACACACACACACACACACACACACACATATATATATATATATATATATATATATATATATATATATATATATATATATATATATATATATGAAGAAATAACATTAAAAAAATGTAAATACAATACTTAATTAAAATTTTTTTGTATATAAATATAAATTTTGTGCATGAATACATATAATATGAAAAAAAAAATACAAAGGGTAAAAGTGAAAAAAATATAAACTTAAGGGTAAAAACGTAAAAAACTATAAACTTAAGGGTTTTTGTGAAACTAATATAATGGTAACCTGTTATCACCGGTAAAAGGGTAAAACCGAACATTTTTGGAAAATGTTAGAGTAAAAACGGACATAAAATTCAACTTTGGGCAAAACCGATAAAACCCTGAAAACTTGAGGGTTTTTATGGCATTAGCCCATTTTAATATTGTAGAATATTGTGAATATGACATTATCAATTTCTAAGACTGATATGGAGTTTTGTATTGTTTTTTCCTGAGTTCTGTAATATTTATAATTATTTTATCATTCCGCCTAAGGCTTATGCCTTGGTTGGCTTGGAGGTGGATTTTGATCTATTAGATTGGGATGTAAGCGGGTTATTCATTTGGGGAATTTATTTCTCTCTTTATAAATTCTTACATGACCAAATTTTTTACATTAAAGCCGGATTTTGAGTAAATTGTGGGAAAGAAACGTGATTTTGTTATAATGATGACTAAAGGGAATCTTGTGTAGATATGGTTATTTAATTGAAGGAACATGTGAGTTGATGATAAGTTTCGATTTCGGAAAAAAACGGAATACTAAATGAGGAGACATCAGATGGTATTGGTTAGGAAACTACTTCAGATGACAATCCTTCATGAGAATCTGAAGATAAGACAAAATGATAAGTGATCTTGAGTTGTTTACCTAGTCAAATTTAGGAGACGAAGTCTCTTTCAAGCAGGGAAGAATCATAATGCTCGGGAATTTTGAAATGCCAATTATTTAAATATGATGTAAGTTGATAATTTGAAGAAATCCGTATTTTGTGCATGGAAGGGTAAGCCAAATAGTGGAAAATATGTATTTAGATTTTAGAGGAAATGCTGAAATTTGGGGATATAAGGTATTTGACAAATAGCATTACTAATGAAATGAATTTTGGGGTGAGAATTTACAACATAAGAAGTGTAGTGGCTAAATGTAAAAACATAAGGGAATTATAGTTGCCTTTTCATTATTTTCACTCTGTGGTTAGCCAATCTAGAGAATTAAGAGAGAATAGTTAAGCAGTGGAGGAAAGGTATCTACATACTCAAATGTATTCAAGTAGAAAGAAGAAATTAAGGAACATATCCTCTGGAAATTAAAGTACAAGCTTGCAAAGTAAAGAGTTCACAAAGGGAGTCTGCTAAACTTTGTTTTTAATTTTCTGGGAAATTTCCTCCTCGTCTTATAAGAAAAAATAATATGTAGAATTAAGAGTAAAACATTAGTTTGTGTAATGTGATTTCTTAAAAACTAACTCACTTTACCTAAATCAGTTCATGTCTATATTTAGAAATGTCGCTTGTATTAGATTTCAAAGGGGGTTTTTATGAGCAAAAAATGAAAAAGAAAATGTAAGGACTAGTTATGAGATTTTCTACATTGTAACTAGTTACTTCAATTGTTATGAGTTCTGAGAAGATTTTTCTACCTGATATAACAGGTTTTACTGGAAATTAGTCACATCTCTCGGTATAAAGTTCATTTCATTGAGGTGCTCAAACCACATACATTCTATCTCAACAAGTCAACATATCCATGGCATCTTCATCATCTTCTCCTTCTGCTCCAACCTTTTCTCCTCAATCGTGGAAGTACCATGTTTTTCTTAGCTTTAGAGGAGAAGATACTCGTACGAGTTTTGTAGATCATCTCTACTCAGCTCTTGAACAACAAGCGATCTACACCTACAACAACGGCAAAACACTTCCTCGGGGCGAATCGATCGGTCCATCCCTTATGAAGGCCGTAGAAGAATCCCAAATTGCTGTCATCATATTCTCTGAAAACTATGCAGATTCTTCATGGTGCTTAGATGAACTTGTACATATTATGGAATGCAAGGATAAGAGAGGCCAAATCGTTATGCCCATATTCTATGGCATAGATCCCTCTGAAGTACGAAAACAAAAACGAAAATATGGAGAAGCCTTAGCCAAGCATGAGTTGGAGAACAAGAAGAAGGCTAAATCCTGGGGACAAGCAGTTGTGGAGGACCCTTGGGGATTGCTCTCTGCACCTCGAGAACAAATCCGGAAATACCAAGAAGCCTTTGCCAAACATGAGCTGGAGAACAAGAGGAAAGTTGAATCTTGGAGAAAAGCACTTGTGGATGCAAGTAACATTTCTGGATGGGAACCCAAGCACGTTGCCAACGGGTAATGTTCTTTTTGTTTTTGCACTTTTTATGCCTAGAATATGCATGCTCTGCAAATAATTTACACTTGTTCCTTGTAAGCTTTTTATACAAATAATTTACTAGATCAACTGATCAGTTACGTATAGGCTTAACTTAAGTTCTGATGGACTTCATTGACTTCTAATTCTAATTTCTTTCTTAACACCTTGCATCAAAGCTACAAAAAAAAAAAATAAATAAATAAATAAATAAAAAAATCCATCATGCTTTGTTTTTTGCTATTTGAAAAAATTTGATGTTTCCTAAGAATATTGCTACTTGTGATATTAAGCTTACAAGTCCTATCTTGAATGAGCATGAAACATGTGATTAATCTGATTTCTGGAAATGATAACTTGTTTTTGATAGTGAGGTTTAACCCTCAATTTATATAGAAAGAGATTACCTAAACAAGAAACTAGATAAAAGCTAAATCAAGAACTAATAAAACTATAAAACCCTATACTACTTATATCTTTAACAAAATAAATTACTCTTTTATCAATTCGAGTATGTGTTAATTATCCTTGTATATCCAATATGTAGGCTTGAATCAAGGGTTATCAAAGAAATTGTTGACACAATTTCACAGAGGTTGCAGTTAGTACCTTCAAGTGCAAATGAAAACCTGATCGGAATGGCGGTTCGATTGCAATGTTTGAAATTAGAGTTACAAATTGGGTCGGGAGGTGTGCGGATGATTGGAATATGGGGTGTTGGGGGTGGTGGTAAGACTACTCTTGCATCTTCCATTTATGATGAAATCTTTAGCAAGTTTGATGGTTGTTGTTTTGTAAAAAATATCCGGGGTGAATCAAGCAAGAATGGTTTGGTAAGCTTGCAAAAAAAAATTATTTGTGGTGTTTTGAAACAAAAGAAAGTACAGGGAATAGAGAGAGTTGAGGAAGGAAGACGCATGATAATTGATAGGTTATGCCATAGAAAGGTCCTCATTGTTCTTGATGATGTCGATAAGCTTGACCAACTACAAGCATTAGCTGGATCACATGATTGGTTCGGTGATGAAAGCCGAATAATAATGACAACTAGAGATGAGCATGTATTAAATGCACACAAAGTAGATGTGACACACACTATTAGCTTGTTAAACAGAGATGAGGCTATTAAGCTCTTTTGTAAGCATGCACCCCGGGATAACAGACCTATAGAAGATTATTAGCATCTTTCAAAAGAGGTAGTCTCGTACGCTGGTGGGCTTCCATTAGCAGTTACAGTCCTCGGTTCTTTTCTTTGTGACAAAGACATTAATGAGTGGCAGAGTGCATTAGTGAGACTGAAAGAGATCCCAGATACTGATATTGTGGAAAAACTAAAAATTAGCTTTGATGGACTTACAGAGCTTGAGAAAGAGTTGTTTCTAGATATTGCATGTTTCTTTAGGAAGAAAAGGAAAGAATTGGCAATGGAGATCCTTAATGCTTGTGGTTTTCATCCTGTTATTGGAGTGAAGGTGTTGATACAAAAGGCTCTCATAACTATTTCAGAAGATGGAAAGTTTGATATGCATGATCTGGTACAAGAAATGGGACACTACATTGTTAGAGGGGAGCACCCTAACAATCCTGAAAAACACAGTAGGATCTGGAAGGAGGAAGACGTTCTGAAAATATGTGCTATGGATGCAACTACGGTAATGTGTTAAGCTAGCTTTTCATGATTTAAATATGTATAAATAAACACTTATAACTCAACTCTGACACCAATTTATTCCTCTATCACAGGAAATTGACATGGTTGAAGTAATAAGATTTGAACACAGTAGTGAGAATCTGATACAGATTCCTCCAATTGTTGCAAACACGAAGAACCTTAGGTGGATTGAGTGGGAAGGTGATCTTGCAACTCCATTGCTTACTAACTTTCCACAAAGGACTCTTTGTCGTCTAGTATTGAATAACAGCTTGCAAAAACAACTTTGGGAGGGTTATAAGGTAATTCTTATTGTCTTTCTAGTTAAGAGATGAAACAAAGTGAATGATGTATGTTCTTCAGTTCTTCCTGGCTAAATTTTGTTGTCATCAAACAACTTCAGTTATAATTTTTATACTTAGTATAGTATTGAAAGCATGAACCTTTTATTCGTAAATCTACTTTGTTTTAATAATGATAAACTTAGTAAAATATAACTTGTTTTATATGATATTGATGCATCAGTCATTGTAATCCATGATATTTATGTAAGCTCATCCTCCATATAAATACCCTTATACGGTTATACCTTAACATGGAAACACAAAAATTGTTTTGTTTTAATAAATAATTGCTATAATATTATTTTGGTAATATTTTAATCTAAATTTAATATTTTGTTCATTTATAACCATTATAAAACATCGATGACTTGATATCATTAATTTGCATAAAAATTCTTCTTTGATTTTTCTTTTATGAAGTGTTTTTTAGATTGTTATTTACAACAACAGTACTTGCAATGATTTCCAGTTACAGTTGGAAGGAATTAGTTTCTTGTCTATTTTTCATCCCATATAGAAATAGTGTGTTTCTAATATTTTTTCTATTATTGAAAACTCAAAGATTCGTGAAAACCCGAGAACCTTTCTATTGTTTTTTTTTTAAATAATTTCAGACATCTATTTTATTTTATTATTATTTTTTTTTTTTGACAACACCAGCCATTAAATCGCTTATTATGCACTTAATTTGCTGAAAAATATGTTAGCTGTCTCAAAGTATTTTTTGTGTTTTTTTAAAGTTCTTTGTTTTTTATGAATCTTTGATTTCTCAACAGATCTCAACCCTACACACACACACACATATATATATATATATATATATATATATATATATATATATATATATATATATATATATATATATATATATATATATATATATGTGTGTGTGTGTGTGTTTGTGTGTGTGTGCATGTGTTCCGGATATTTGACTTGATATCACTTGTATACAACAGCTGCTGCCTAATTTGAAGACAATCGAACTTTGGGATTTGGATAACCTAATCATGACACCAGATTTTGATGGACTTCCAAATCTTGAAACATTCAAGCTTGGGGGATGTTTGTATTTAGAAGAGATTCATCCATCGATTGGTCTCTTGGAGAGGCTTGTTTTCTTATCTATAGGAAGTTGTTGGAGACTTAAAATGTTTCCACCCGTTACCCGATTAAAGAAACTCGAGACCCTTACATTCTTTGAATGCCCTGAACTTTTTAAGCTCTCAGCAACCCAACAGAACATGGAGAATTTACCACATGTTCATTTGGATAATAACAGTGGGAGTGAAGTTTCATCCTATATAGAAACTAGTCCAAAGTTTTTTGTTGTCTGTTGGAAGTGTGGTTGCAGCAATCTCCTTGGTGTAGATTGCTGTGTGGAGGAGCCTTGTTTACGCGACAACATGAACCGCATAGGCTTGCAGTTTTTTCTAAAGGACCTGAGAAATTTGAATCTTGGTTTGTGCAGTTTGGGAGATGAAGAAATCGGCTCTGCTGTTTGGGAGTTACCCAACTTGCAAGAACTTAATCTAAGTGAAAATAAATTCTCACGATTAGATTTTAGTCTCTTGCAACTTCCTCGACTCAAATTGCTCAATGTGTCATGGTGCAAAAACCTTGTAGAATTGTTAGAGCTGCCATCAAGTATAGCTGTTGTTGATGCGAAACATTGTATCTCACTTGAAAGCTTTGGAGATATCTCAAACTGTAAATGGTTGTGGTATGTCTTGCTTCAGATGGGGAACAACCTTTGTGTTGACAGTTTACTAGACTCCATGCTCCAGGTTTGGCTCTACAAACCTTTTAAAAATTTTCAATCTTTGTTACATAAACCCAAACAAAAGAATCATTATTGAATCTGTTTTCCATGGCAGGGTAATGCTAGTGAAAGTTACTTTATCAATATCATTCTTGAAGATCAGATTCCAAATGGGTTTGTTGGTGGGCTTTTTATGGGGAGAACATTTACACTGCATCTTCCAGATGATTGGTACAATGAGTTTTGCGGGTTTCAGATATGTGTTGTTACCCGAATGCTATCTCCTTATATTGATATAGTCATCAAGCAGGAGGTAGATGAAGATTCTCGATCTGAGCTTTGTCAGGAGTACTCTGATGAAGCAGTAGAGCCTGAATATGATGAAGCAACGACATGTGTAGGATATGTTTCCTTTGGTTCATTGAGGGGCACGGCATTTTCAAATTCATCATATGCCAGGACTTCAATTTTCTTAGAGTGCATGTATGGGAATTCATCTCACAGTTATGTTGGGGCTAAACTTGTTCCTAGGAAAAGTAAAGGTGGTGAGGTGAAAAAAACAAAAGTTGCTATAGATTTCTCCGAATTTTGGGACAAACAACATGAAGATGGAAACACATTTACGATCGAACATGATTCAAACTCTTATATAAATATTTTATGGCAATCGTTATGAATTCATCCCCCACTTCCCCCATACTGTTTTATGTATTTCTCTCTGTTTGGGACACTCATTTGCTACTTCACTTTTTTGTTTTGAGACTTATTGGCTGTTACTAGCTGATTTTACCTTTATTTACCAAAAAAAATGTGTATTTGTTTATTCTAGCATAATTTGTTGTTATGTGTCAAAAAGTTTATATTGCTTAGAATGTTAAAGTAATTAAGACAAGTTTATCATCATTTAATCGTGTCTTCCTTCAACATATCAGTTTACTAATACTACTTCATGATGAATGGAATTAATCATCTTGCCATGAGCTTTTTCAATGATTGTGGTAGAGATAAAACTTTTCTTTTTCAATTTAAATTTTTTCATGTTGTGGATGCCTTAAAGCTAAGTTGCATAGTGATTTTATGAAATTCATTACTTTTAGGTCTTAAGTATATGCAATATACCTAAAATTTTATGTCAATATTGGCGTCTGCCAGTTGTTACAATAGAAGTAACTATGGTTAGAGGAAAATATTATGGGTATGGAGTTCTACCTTAATGACTATCTGGTTAGTTGAGTTTCACGAAAACAGATGTATGTACATAAATAATGCTATTTTTGCTTTTGGTCCCTCACCTTTCAACATGTGTCCGTAATACCCCAATTCCCTTTTTGTCTTGCTTTCTTGGCACTACCAGAACTTGTCATTATTAACCCCCTTGACTATCATAAATTCATTTTTTGAATTTTAATCTAGACTAATCTTCATAAATGGTCGTTGTAGTTTCCCAAAATATCAAGTTTCGTCCCTAACTTTTTTCGAGCTCTTTGAAGGTCCGTGTGGTTTTTTTAAAATTACATCTTTACCTTTTTATTTTCTTTTACATTTTTTATAATTAAAAATATTAAAAAAAAAAAAAAAAGAAACAAATAACACTCACCACCTATGTTCTTCCCAGTCTTGTTCTCTTTCACAACGAAGGGATTGATGTCTCCTACCCCCATCTCCATCTCCTCTCCAACACCTTAAATTGCGTTGGTGCTATATATATATCTTTACCATCTCCATCGTCGGTTACCAATACGTATTGTTGCTACCGAGATTCTTAGAGTGACCCCATCACCTTCTTCCACTTTATTTCCCCTTTTCATTTGTAGAACCCTATACCTAAAGTTGCCACAAGATACCTCTTGTCCGCCATCGACCGCATGTTGTGCGTTTATTTATTTTCACCACCGGAGAACACAACAACAACATCACTGGAAAGGATACACGGTATCAACATCCACAATTTTTAGCTTGGATGAGACGTTTTGATGTCTACACACTTCCGGAGTGTAAACACGTTGATTGAATGCAATTATTAGAAGCATTAACTACTATTTATGTAAGAAGAATCATTGGAAGGCAAATTGTCATTTGCTGATAAGAAAGGGAAATCAACAACAACAAAAAAACGAGATCATTTGCACAGTCTCAGCCTTCATAGTAGAACTTGTCTTATGTACAATATCAACCACGTCCCTCGTTTCCATTTTTTAAGTCACCACAGTATGTTGCTTATGCACCTTCAGTTGAGAATAAGACAGATTATACACCACCATCAGCCTTAGATCCCCAGATTGTCGAGCAATTCAGACAGTTCATTACTGCCAATCTAATTGTCATGTCAGCTTCCATGTCTCCTTCAGGTTTGTCTTCATCCAACACTTCAGGTATTCCTTCATCCTTGTGGATATTGGATTCTGGTTCATCTCATCACATGCCACCACATATGTCATCTTTTCCTTCGTTATCATCTCGTATACGTCTATGTTATGTCTGCTAGTGCTACACCTATGTCAGTAGAGGGTGTTGTTTCTATTGTCATTCCTTATGTATCTTTAACAGATGTCTATTACATTCCCACACTTGCTTTGAATCTTGCTTCGGTCAGTCAGTTGTGTAATTCTGGTTGTTGGGTCTTCTTTTCTAATTCATTATATTGTGTACATGACGTTCGGTCTCGGAGGGTGATTGTGATAGGTCGTAGACTTAGGGAGCTTTATGTTTTGGAGCAGCTACATGTTGTTGATGTTGCTGCATCTAGTGTCGATTTTCCATCTTTCCGCGTAAATCCTTTGCCGTCTGTTTTTTATATTTGACATTCTCGTTTGGGACATGTGTTAACGTCTCGTTTACAGTGTTTGGTTTCCATTGGTGTGTTAGTTTCTTTGAAAACTGATGATATTTTTGATTGGTGTGGTTGTAAGATGTGAAAGTTTTGTGCTTTACTGTTTAATAAAAGTGTCACTCGTTTTGTTGCTTTCGTTGATATTGTCCATTCTGATGTGTGGGGTCCATCTCGATCACCTCTAAATCAGGATCTAACCTTTATGTATTCGTTCATTGATGATTACACTCATTATATGTGGGGTTATTTTATGAAGCGCATGTCTGATTTTTTCACCATATATAGTGACTTCAGAGCTCTTATCAAGACTCAACACTTTGTTGTCATAAAATGTTTTGGCGTGATTTGTGAGGAGAATTTACCTCCAGTGATTTTAAAAAGTTATTGGCATTTGATGGCACTGTGCATCAGTCATCTTGTACAGGCACCCCTCAATAGAATGGGTTGCAAAAAGAAAATACCGACATCTCCTAGAAACTGCAAGATCTTTGCTACTTTCTGCTCGTGTTCCCAATACGTTTTAGGGAGAAGTTGTTCATACCGCCACTTATGTTATTAATCGCATTCCTACTGCGCACACTTTGGGGAAGTTTCCTTATGAAATGTTGTTTGGGAAACTTCCATATTATTCTTCATTACGAGTGTTTGGGTGTATTTATTTTGTCTTGAAGCCTCATGTAGAGAAAGATAAGTTATCCTCAAAATCAGTCATTTGTGTATTTCTGGGATACTATATTGGTTAGAATGGTTATCGGTGTTGTGATCCATCAAATCGGAAACTGTATGTCTCTCGCAATGTCACTTTTTTAGCACATTCCGTCCTATAGCATTCCTGTTCAATCACATAATGCAACTCAAGAGGAGCTTTGTACTATTGATCCATTTATCATTGACATTATTAATCCACCACCTGCCACTAATCTACCACCTGCTATTGATCTACTACTTGCTACTAATCCACCACCTGTCGCTGATCCTCTGCCTGCAGATCATCAATATCCTCCACCATCGAGGCCTTATTGTAATAAGAAGTCCATAAAGCTACCTGACTTTGTCTATTCCTCTTACTCACCAGTTTTCACCTCTGTTATTGCTAATGTACATCGCCTCTCTAAGCCAACATCCTACAAAGAGGTTGTATTTGATCCTCTTTGGCAGAACGCTATGGTTGAGGAACTTGCATTATAGCTGATCCTCTTTGGCAGAACGCTATGGTTGATGAACTTGCAGCTCTTTATCAGACTCATATATGGGATCTGGTTCTGCTTCTGCTTGGAAATCACACGATTGGTTGCCGTTGTGTATATAAAATCAAAACAAAGTATGATGGATCCGTTAAGCATTATAAAGCTAGTCTTGTTGCGAAATGGTACTTATAAAAGTATGGTATGGATTATGAGGAGACTTTTGCTCCTGTTGCAAAAATGACAATTGTTTGCACCTTGATTGTAGTTTCTTCCATTCGCAAATGGAATATTTATCAGATGGATGTCAAGAATGCATTCTTGAATGGTGATCTTCATTAAGAAGTATATATGTCTCCTCCCCTGGTATTACTCACCAATCAAGTGAAGTTTGTCGAGTTCGGAAGGCACTATATAGCCTCAAACAATCCCCTCGTGCTTGGTTTGAGAAATTTTCTACGGTGATTACTTTCTCTTGGTTTTCAACCAAGCAAACATGACTTAGCTCTATTTGTTCGATGCATGAGTGCAGGTTGGATTATTCTTTCCTTATATGTCAATGACATGATTATTATTGGTGATGATCATGATGGTATAGTCTTTAAAGTGTGATTTAGCTCACCCTTTTGTTATGAAAGACTTGTTTTTTCTATGTTATTTCTTGGGGATTAAAGTTTCTCAATCTCCAAAGGGTTATCGATTTTTATCTCAAATGAAGTATATTTTAGACTTGTTTGAACGTGCATGACTCGCGGATAATTGGATAAGTGATGCGCCTATAGAAAGTAATGCAAAGTATTTTCCAAATGATGGTGTCCCCTTAACAGATCCAAGCCTTTATCGTACCATTATAGGGAGTTTGGTTTATCTCTGGCTGTCACTAGACCGGATATTGCTCATGTAGTTCATGTGGTTAGCTAGTTTGTTACTGCCCCTTCTACTGTTCATTGGGGAGTTGTTCTTCGTATTTTGAGATATCTTCTTGATACTCAATTCAGCATCCTTGTGTTTCCATCTACATCATATCTTGAGCTCCATGCCTATAGTGATGCCAATTGGGATAGTGATATTTATGATCGTAAGTCCACTACTGGGTATTGTGTTTTTCTTTGAGATTCATTGATATCATGGAAGAGTAAGAAACAAGATGTTTTCTCTCGATCTTCTAAGAATCTGAGTAACGATCCATGACTATCGCCACTTGTGAGATTGTTTGGTTGAAATAGCTTCTTGCAGATATGGGTGTTCATATCTCTCAACCTACGACTTTGTATTGTGACAACGAGAGTGCGATAATGATTGCCAATAATTCAGTGTTTCATGAGCACATAAGAACACATTGAGATTGATTGTCATTTCACACGACATAATCTCCAGTAGGGCATTATTTCCTTTCCTTATGTTCCTTCCACTTTGCAAATTGTTGATATTCTTATGAAGCCATTGACTACTCCTCGATTTCATTTTCCGTCTGTCCAACTCTCAATGCTTATTGTTGTTGCATTGTGAGTTTGAAGGGGGATGTCAGCCTAATACGATTTTGGGCTTTATTTTGTATTGGGTTTTATGTTGGCTCATTAGTTAGAAAATCGTAATTAGCTAGTCTATATATTATGTCTTTTCCTTTCATTGTATCTTGTAGTTCTCATTTGATAATCATACGAAACTTTAGCCGTTTTATGTCTTGTTAGTTTACAGTGTCTTCCCGTCCCTTGTTTCTCACTTTCCCATTTACATGTGTCTCCGCATGCATTGTTTCCCACTTGGTAAACGCGTCAAGAATTTCAATCCCAACATTTGAACTATAGGATTGTTTTTGTGAGATTGGTTTTCAAATAAAGGATATGAAGTTTGAATGGTTCGAAACATGTTATGTTTTGCTTGATAGGATTTGTGTTAAAATTTGAAGATCAAAATACTTTGTAAATTGTAAATGATAACTGAAAATCTTAATCATAAAAGGAGCGATTTGTTCGATAGAAAAACAATTAAACTCTTTTTACTAACAATCACAAGTAAAGAATAACAACATAACAAAGAATTGAGAACTAATGAAGTTTAACAACAAACTTTTACAAGGAAGATAATGAATATTGAACTAGAATTTTCTTTATCATTAGAGCTCTTTCAGAAGGAATGAAAATAATCCAAGTTCTAAAAAGTTTGTCATAGCTTTGCCAATGCATGTTATGGCTCCAAGACTCACATTTACGCCACATCATCACACCATAGAAACCACCGTCTTAAGTCATATATATTTAGGGAAAACTTTATAAAAGTCCTCATGTATTGACGTCATTATCGATTTAGTCCTTGTATATTTTTTTTATTTTAATAAGTTCTAAAAACCGGCAATTGTATATAGAAGATGCAAGTGTAGTCTTACCACCAAAACAACAGTTTTGATGTCGAAAATGAAATACTTAAAGAATTAGAACCATGTTTATCAACACCCACAACTAATAGTACTATAGACAATTTTGACAATAAATAGTTGGACTTCTAAAATTTCAAAATTTCAAAGATCAATGACAATAAAAAGAACCAAGACAGTGAAAACAGAGAAAAAATTAAGAGTTGTAAGACTTGAAAACGACAACTTTTGATTCATACCTTTTCAGTTACATATTTATTTCGTATTGGAATAAAAAAATAAAAAATAAATAAAAAATCTGTTTCATATTTTCTTTTTATTTTCTGCCAAAAAAAAAGTTAACAGTTTATATTGAGGATTGGCCATGACCTTTTCAGCCCGGACTTCTTAATCAGCCCAAGCCTGGCCCAATATCCAAACCATCTTTTTCTTTAGTGACTTAACCCAGGGCCCATTTGGGCCCAGTCCAAAGACCAAAATATGTGCACACCTAAGTTGCACTAGTCAATGTTCAACCTTAAAAAGAATGGAAGGTGAAACTCCTAGCCAACCAAATGTATTAAACCAAATAAAGGTGAGACAGGTCCAAGAGAGACCATCAGTCCTACATATTAGACCGGGCTTTTCTTAGACTGGTTTGACTAGACACCTGATCTAACCAGATCTTTTGGCATGATCATGTACAACTCTTGATAGAATTTTCATATTGGTACATTTTGGATCACAAAAAACAAATTCATTTAAATACATGTATGTTACAACTTACAACTGATCACTTAATCACAATAATTCAATAAAATTGTTCAGAGTGTGAGCTACAAGTTGGCGTAGAGTTCAGAGATCTGCGGGAATGGGTTTGTCAATACCAGTTGAAAGGATGCCATATAATCTTGACACAGGACTTTGAATCGTGTTGGACCCTAAATGTCTTTTCATGTATAGTACGTTCCTTGTCCCAGAATCCTGAGCAATCTGTTGTTTGCACCTCATCTCCTTTACTTTTTCTAGGAACAAGTGCAGCTCCAATGTAACTCTCAACTGCATCCGGATTCCGATACGTTTCTTCTAAGGAAAACGAAATCCTATTGTATGATGAATTTAACAATGTGGTGTGCTTTAATGAATTAAACGAAACATATCCTATGGATGTTGTTGTTCCATTAATATATTCAGGATCCATTGCTTCATTAGACTCCTCCTTTAGAGCCTCAAATCTAGAATCTTCATCATCAACCTTCTCCATGATGATTATAGTAACTTTCAGACATTCAATGTCGGTAACAATGTGTACTAAGAACCCATAAAAGTCATTATACCAATTATCTGGAAGATTCAGTGTAAATGTTTTCCCCCTAACTACTACCCCCTTTGGAATCATCTGATGTTCAAGAGTGAGACTGATAAAGTGATCCTCAATAGCATTTCCCTGTCCCCATGAAAAACACATTCTTATGTTAGGGTTTATATAAAGATAGAAATTTGAGAAGTGCGGTAATAGTATTACCTGGAGCATGTAGTGTAGCAATATGTCACCATAAAGTTTGTTGTCCCCCAGAAGTGAGAGTTTCCACAACCATTTACAGTTTGAAATATCTCCAAAGCTTTCAAGTGAGCTACAACCATCCGCTATAACAACAGCTATACTTGATGGCAGATCTGACAATTCCACAAGATTAAAGCAGGCTGCCAGGTTTAACCATTTGAGCCGAGGAAGTTTCAAGAGACTAAAATTCAATCTTGAAAAATTATTTGCTGCTAAACTGAGTTCTTGTAAGTTGGGTAACTCCCAAACACAAGAGCCAATGTATTCATCTCCCAATTCACAGCCACTGAGATTCAACTTACTTAAGCCTCTATAAGAAAACCGTAAGTCTATGTTGTTGTGAGGTAAACAAGGCTTGTCTAAACAACATTTAATACCAGGAAGATTGCTCAGACCACACCTCCAACAAGTAACCAAAGAGTTTGTAATAGATTCTTTATAGGATCCAACTTCTTTCCCACCATTATCTAATTGAAGATGTGGTATATTGTTATTGTTCTGTTGTTGGAACTCCAAGGGCTTACAATTTTGGAAGCAATCTAAAAATATAAGGGTTTCGAGCTTCTTTAATCGGGTAATGGGTGGAAACGATTTAAGGCACGAAGCATCTATTATACATAAGGCAACAAGACTTTCCAAGCGTCCAATGGATGGATGAACCTCTTCTAAACAATAACATTCGGTAAGTGTCAATCTTTCAAGATTCGGAAGTCCATCAAAATCTGGAGTCACGATTAGCTTCTCTAAAGCAATAAGTTCCATGTTTTTCAAATTGGGCAGATACTGTTGAATACCAGTGTTTGATTGTTAGTTAAATATCTAAAAATCATTAATAAAATTCTTTTGTGAACCCAAATTTATGATATCAATGTTTTATAATGGTTATCAATCAACAGAAATGTTTTATAATGATTTTTTAGACAAACAGGTATTTATATGAAATGAGCTTTATATAAATACCACCTATCTGAACCGCTTATCCAGGCTACCAGGATACAGACTTCGAATTTGGATTTTGTTATTTGGAAAATTGGATTACCTAAATACCGATTCAAGAGTTCAAACCATTTAAGTTATCCAACAATTTTATACCAAACCATTATGCCCCTAACTTGGACATGAAAATTCCTACCCTACATAATGATGTTCGTCTTTAACAAGCCTTATATATATATATATATATATATATATATATATATATATATATATATATATATATATATATATATATATATATATATATACACACACACACACACACATAGATGTGAAGTTTATAATTCAAGCATCACATTTACATCTAACAATTTAATCTTCATCAACAAAAAGAAGATTTTTCATACTTAACAGTTGGTTATCTATGAAAATAAAAACAAAATCAGGTTAAACAAACATAATAAATAAATAAATAAATAAATAAATCTACAAACTAAAGGTTAATGATGCTTTTGACTTCTTAGCTAGATATAGAAAAACTACAATCTAATTATATAATGACTGATAATCAGTGATATAACTTAACTATATGCCGATATACATAATAGAAACTTAAAACTAACTTATTAATTTCATCCAGTAATCAAGTAGAGAAACAATAAAAATTACCTTATAGCCTTCCCAAAGTTGTTTTTGCTTAAAACCTTGCAATCTTAGACAACACAACTCCCTTGGTGGAAAATTTTCTGGCAATGGACGTGTAGTCTCGATACTCTCTTCAGTCTTCAAACTAATCAACCTAAGTTTTTTCATGTTTGCAGCCACATGGACAAAATGTTGTGATTCCTCATCCGTAGCATGCCAAAATTTTATTGCTTCAATCTTGTCAAGTTTCTGTGACAGAGGATTAAAACGGTGTTAGGGTGGCATTAAGAGTGCTTTTGCATGCATGCATACATACATCACGAAAAGCTAGCTTAATCATTACCATTGTTGCATTCATATCAAATAGTCTAAGAACATCTTCCTTCTTCCAAATTCTACTTTGTTTTGTAGGATTGTTAGGGTGTTCCCCTCTAACAATGTAGTGTGCCATTTCTTGTATCAAATCATGCATATCAAATACTCCATCTGAAATAGTTATAAGAGCTTTTTGTATCAGCACCTTTATACCTATAACAGGATGAAAACCGCAAGCATCAAGTTTCTCCATTGTCTTCTCTGTTAACTCCCTCCTAAAAAAACATGCAATATCTAGGAACAATTCTTTCTCTATTGGTTTAAGTCCATCAAAGCTGATTTTTAACTTTTCTACAATATCAGTATCCGGGATCTCTTTTAGTCTGGCTAATGCACTCCTCCACTCATGAATGTCTTTGTCACAAAGAAAAGAACCAAGAACCGTAAGAGCTAATGGAAGCCCACCAGCATAAGAAACAACATCTTCTGAAAGCAGCTCATAATCTTCTATACATCGATGACCCCGGGGAGCATGCTTGCAAAAGAGCTTAATAGCTTCATCATTGTTTAACAAACTAATATTGTGTATCACATCTACTCTGTGTGCATTTAACACATGCTCATCTCTAGTTGTGATTATTATTCGACTTCCTTCACCGAACCAATCATGTGCTCCAGCTAATGCTTTTAGTTGATCAAGGTTATCAACATCATCAAGAACAATCAAGACCTTTTTATGGCGTAACTTACATATTATCACACGTCTTCCTTCCTCAACTCTACGTACCTTCACTTTCTTTTGTTTCAAAACAAGAGAAAGAATTTCTTCTTGCAATTTTTCCAAACCATTCTTACTTGATTCCTCACGGACGTTTTCTACAAAGCAGCAACCATCAAAATCGCTAGAGATTTCATCATATACGGAAGAAGCAAGAGTAGTCTTACCACCACCCCCAACCCCCCATATTCCAATCATCCGCACACCATTTGACTCAATTTGTAACTCTGATTTCAAACGTTGCATGCGGGTCGCCATTCCGATCAGGTTCTCATCTGCACTTGAAGTTACTAGTTGCAGCCTTTGTGAAATTGCATTAAGAATTTCTTTGATAACCTTTGATTCATGCCTGCAATACAAGTAAATATAAAGACATCCTCACACAAAGGAGGTAATTTATTGCATGTTGCATGAAATAAAAAAGGGGGTCCTAAACAACCTTTATATTTCAGATCTAAAATACAATCCGTAAAGTTAATAACATCAAATAGTTTCATATAGCAAAAAGTGAAGCAAGATGGATTTATTGTTGTCACTTGAACCAAGGCGTTATGTATGGAATTAGAATTAGAACTCAGAGAAGTCCATGATAATTTAATTCAACTTACCAGACTGATAAATTGATCTAGTCAAGCCTCTGTTTATCACTGTGATTAACATCATCATGAGTAATTAAGATGTTTGTATAAAAAGCTTATAAGAATATAAATGTGTAGACTACACATATATTAAACATACAAAGTGAAAAACCGAAGAAGAAAAGTACCCGTTGGCAATGTGCTTGGGTTCCCATCCAGAAAGGTTACTTGCATCCACAAGTGCTTTTCTCCAAGACTCAACCTTGGTTTTGTTCTCCAACCAATGTTTGGCAAAAGCTTCTCCATACTTTCGTTTCTGTTTTCGCACTTCAAAGGGATCCACATCATAAAATACGGGCATAACGATTTGGCCTTTTGTATCTTTGCATTTCATAATACATGCAAGTTCATCTAAGCACCATGAAGAATCTGCATAGTTTTCTGAGAATATGATGACAGCAATTTGAGATTCTTCTATAGCTTTCATAAGGGATGGACCAATTGATTCTCCCCGAGGAAGTGTTTCATTGTCCTTGTAAGTATAGATCCCTTGTTGTTCAAGAGCCGAGTAGAGATGATCCACAAAAGTCTTGCGAGTATCTTCTCCTCTAAAACTAAGAAAAACATGGTACTTCCATGAATGAGAAGAAAACGCCGGAGCAGAAGGAGAAGATGATGAAGATGCCATGGATGTGTTGATTTGTTGAGATAGAATATATATGGTTTGAGCACCTCAACAAAATGAAATTATACCGAGAGATGCGACTTTCCTATAATACCTGTTATCATGCAGAAATATCGTGTTAGAACTCATAATTGAAGTGACAGGTTACCATGTAGAAAATCTCCTAACTAGTCCTTACATCGTCTTTTTCATTTTTTTGGTCAGAAAAACTCCTTTGAAGTCTAATACAAGTGACAATTCTAAAGATACGCATTAATTGATTTAGGTCAAGTGAGTTAGATTTTTTTAGAATCACATTATACAAACTAATGTTTTACTCTGAATTCTACATTGAGACTTTTCTTATAAGATGAGGAAATTTCTTAGAAAAAACAAAATTTAATTTAGCAGACTCCCTTTCTAAACTCTTTACTTTGCAAGCCTATACTTCACTTTCCACAAGACCTGTCCCTTAATTTCTTCTTTCTACTTGAATATATTTGAGTATGTAGATACCTTTCCTCCACCATTTGACTATTCTCTCTTTTAGTTCTCTAGATCGGTAAACCACGGAGTGAAAATAACGAAAAAGGTATCTATAATTTCCTTGTGTATTTATAACTTGATGTCAACATCTATGTCTAATAGTACATATATAGCCTTCAAGATTTCTTCACTAAATCACTATATTACAAATTTTCCAACAATACCATGTACTTAAATGAGCTCTTTCATCACTAACTCGACTCGATTTGAAGCACCATAATTATTAATCAGTATATGACTAGTTCTTTGATCTAATTATAATGTTATGTAATATGTACTAATAATGAATTTCCAAGTATTTGGAGCTTAAACGTAGCAATACACGGATTTAAATAGTAACAGGCATACTTCGATTGCTCAACAAATACACAGCAATGAACAACAGACCAATCCCCCTGTTTGATTTTCTTTTTGTATCCACAACACGTGCATACAGCAGTTGACTCTTTTTACTTCATATCCCATTCTTTTATAACATAAACATCATGTTAACTTCAAATGTTGTTTAATTTGACCAACTAACTGCACTAATTCCCAAACTTATCAACGTTGACAAAACTAGGTCAAAATGTCTTTCTCACATTCCGGATTGACATTTTTTTTTTTTTAATTCACTGATAAATTTTACTCAATAACTTAGCATAAAACTTCATTAACTCTTCCATTTCCTTCTTCATAACTTATAATTCGTCAATTTATAAGTTCGAGGAAAGATACCTCAAATTCCCAGCAAAGCCATACTTTAGCCGACACCCTTTCTAAGTTCTTTACTTTGCAAGCTTACACTTCGATTTCCATAGGACGTCTTGCTTAATTTCTTCTTTCGACTTGAATCAATTTAAGTAGGTGGGTACCTTTCCTCGACTGTTTTCTCTCAATTATTCTGATCTATTACTGTTAACGAGGGAGTGAAACTAATAAGAAACGGACTAGAATCCCGTTATATAGTTAATCATATTTCCCATTATTAGCCCTCGCACTTCTACACATTATCACCTCAAAACCCTTTACATACGGAGAAAAACATTAAAAATAGCATAACGAGGAAAAAGCTTTTAACAAAATATATATATTTTTGACATGGTATATAAATGACCACATACTTGGTTATTGTCATAAAAGCCGCAAGATTTATATCCCAGTTTGCAATTTATCATAACTTTTTTGTTACTCTTTTGCCATTAATTATAAGCTTGAACGATCTGATCTACTTTGTCATTCAAATTTTCATCATTCCTTGATCACACACACATACAAACTCTCTCTCTCTCTCTCTCTCCAATACTCAAAATCTTATAAGGGAAGTTGAAGCCACATACAACTTTAAATTTAAGAGGTAATCACCTTAGTAGATTCATCTGTTGAGTTCATTATACTAAGGACTTTCTTCATCTTAGCAACCCATTGGTTCTTTATCTTGAACTTTTTGGTCAGCCGTATCTTAAGTTTAATGATCTTCTGTGTGTCGAAACTAACATTCAACATGACATCAACATTCAACACAAGGATGATGTAGGAGGAGCTAAAGTTTGTCAGGCAACAACCGTGATCAACCTTAAGTCTCCTAAACTCGATCCTCTTCATGAAGTTATCAAACTTTAAGTACCACTAAACTTAGAAGTTTGCTTCGTATCATATAGATTTTTCTTCTTCTTAAACAGTAGCTTTTTCTTACCAACTGTAAGAGCACTCTTTAGTTGTGTCTTCCAGATGTCTCCTTCTAGGTTGTCATCAAGGAGATCAGTTGTAACACCCAGTTCAGGTACGCATTTCATCTAGTTTAAACTTGGAAGTTTCACCCGGCTCACGATATGAGTAATGCTTGTCACATCGTGAGGGGAATATTGAACCCCGCATCACCTTTGGGCTCACGATGTGAGCACATATGGCTCACGACGTGAGGCTAGTCTGAGAGGAAAACCTAAATTTTAGGGGTTTTAATTTGTATTTAAAGGAAGGGGGCTAGGGTTAGCCCACGCACAACTAAGAATAATAGGAAGGGCATCTAGTCATCATTTCTGAATTCAAGCATCATCATCAATTTTCACACCTTATACACCTCTGTGAGTTTAAAAGTTCATTGCTTTATGAGTCTATAGGCTTAGATCTATATTTGTATGCTTTATCCTTCATATTCAAGATGATGTAGTGGTTGGGATCCATAAAGTTGCCAACTTTATGGATCTCCAGTGTCCCTTGAGTATTATAGATGTTATATCTGGAGTATGGTTGAGTTTTAAGACTCTTGCATGAGATTTGGAATCATTTCACCCTTTTGTGCCCTAGTTAGTGTTTGGGACATGCATGTCGAAAAAGCCATGATTTTTATGATGTTTTGGAATGAATAAGACATTATAGAGGTTTTGGTTGCTTATCCAAATGGGTTAAGAGTTTTATTAAGCTTTTCTGTCCAGATCATCCTCACGATGTAAGCACTTGGGTATCACGACGTGAGGATGATGTTCCTCGACCATTTTGTCTTATTAGGTTACGACATGACCACTAGAGGGTCACGACGTGACAAGTGGATGTCGAACTTTTGAGTGTGGATTTGACTTTGACCTTTAACCAAGGATTTAACCAAGTTTGAATCAATGGTATTTTGGGTAATTTGAGTAGTAAATTGTGAAGGTGATGAAGTGGAAGTGGTGGTTCGTGGACTTTAGTGAGAGGAACAGAGATTGGATGATTTGCTATGAACTCGATCATAACACGAATAGATTCATCGTAATCGTCGGGATTTAGGGATCACAATTATGTCGTATCCCTGAGAAACAGTTTAGGGGATGCTGATGATGATGAACCTTTGGAGCGTTTCTTCTTTGAATGGACTTCTTTGGAGTTGAGGCAGTTGGAGCATTTTTCTATGGTGAAGATTGGGAAGCCATTGATGCAGAGTGATGAATTCTTGAAGAACACGAAAAACACAGAGAGGGTTTGAAGTTTTAGAGGGTTTGAGCACGTAAAGAGGTAAAAGGGGGTTTTGATGGGAGGTAAGAGAAATGGGTCGGGTCAGTGAGGGTAATGATGAGGGTCCGAATGTGAATCGGGTTGCATTAAATGAATAACTGCTTTTTGCGGGTTGAGTTGACTTGGGAAGGGAAATTTGGATTGTTTGTAACTTGAAATGGAAAACCCTAAACAACGATTCAATGGTTGCTTTATGGAGGCATGCAATTGTGTCACGAAAATCGAGGAAGATATGATAAGGATCCTCAAAAAGTAACCGTTGTGAAATTGTTTCGCCTTATAGACCTTTGGTATTCTAGATGATTGATTCCAAACGGATTGAAAACCAATGGATAAAGAGTTTAGTTCCGAAACAAGATCTTTTGAAAAAGGTCCAGAGTAGAAATTAATCCGGAGTGAGTTTATAGTCAAAAAGCTTTTTCAATTAAGATTTTGGAGCTATGATTTGAAAAATTCGGAGTGAAATATCATCTGAAGTTTCAAAAATTCCGGAGTGAAAGATTTTGGTTTCAGATTCCGGAGCAAAATTCTAAAATGATGATTTTTGAGTTTCAGAGAAAATAGCTTTGAAGAAGTTTTCGAAAGAGATTTGAGAGGCAGTCCGGAACAAGATTTGAGAAAACTTTCGGAGTCAACTTTTAAAAAGAATTTCGAAGTATAGAGTGCAATACCTTTCCGGAGTGGAATCCCTGGATAACCTTATGGAGTGAATTCCGAGATGAAATATTTATCATTTTGACTTACGTGGACTTGGAACAACAGATAATCAGGATGAACTGTACAACTTAAAACTCAGGTGATGGTTAGAAAAAAAAAAGACAAATAAAATGATCCTATGTATTCCGAGAGAAAGCAGTTCCAAGAGTAAAGTTATTGTTAAGTCGGAACCAATTTTTTTTTTCGAATACTTTCATCAGACAGAACAAGTCTCTTGAAAGAACTGAGGATTTGGCATTATCATACTCATCTTGTTCAGAAAACCATTGAATTTGGTTTCGTCGAATGCCTTAGTAAAGACATCAGAAATCTTATCCTCAGATGGAACAAAAATGAGTTAAATGTTACCATTTAAAACATGGTCTTTTATGAAATGGTACAGTATGTCGATATGCTTTTTTCATGGAGTGCTGAATTGGATTGTATGAAATTGAAATGGCACTTTGAGAATCACAATAGATGGGGATGTGTTGAAAGTGGTAACCATAATCCAAGAGTTGAGACTTCAATCATAGAACTTTAGAGGTACAGCTGGCAGCAACAATGTATTCGACTTCGGCTGTAGAGAGAGCAATGTAGTTCTGTTTCTTGGATGACCAACTAACCAATCAACCACCTAAGAATTGGCATCCACCTGATGTGCTTTTCCTATCCAGTTGTAATCCACCATAGTTTGAATTTGACTAAGCTTGTAACAGGAAACTCTCATTTGTTGGGTACCAGATTCCGAGGTTCTTAGTGCCTTTAAGGTACCTGAAAATTTGCTTGACAGCCAAAAGATGAGACATCTTCGGGTTGACTTGAAATCTGGCACACAAACATGTCGAGAACATGATGTCCGGATGACTAGCTGTGAGATAAAGCAAAGATCCAATCATTCATCTATACTTCTTTTCATCGACTGCAACATCTGAAGGGTCAACAACAATTTGGTGTCCGAATCTCATAGGTACCTTGGCAGACACACATGTGTCCATTGAGTACTTTTTGAGGAATTCTGAAATTTACTGCTCTTGGTGAATGAAAATTCCTCTGTTAGTCTGTTTTACTTGGAGACCAATAAGAAACTTAACTCCCGATTCATGCTCATTTGGAATCGATTGATCATTAGCTTAGCATCGTCAGTAACCATTGATGAGTTTGTAGATCCAAAAATGATGTCGTCCACGTAAATTTGAACCAGCATGAGATGTTTTCCATTCAATCTTCGGAATAGAGTAGGATCCACAACACCTCTTTGAAAACCAGAGCGCTTGAGAAAGTTCGTGAGGGTCTCGTACCATGCGCGAGGAGCTTGCTTGAGGCCATAGTCTGCCTTCCAAAGTTTGTAGCAGTGGTTCGGAAATGCAAGATTAATGAATCCGGGAGGTTGTTGAAGATATAATTCAGTATCAGGTTTATTATTTAGAAAAGCACTTTTAATGTCAATTTGGTAAACTTTGAAGCCTTTATGAGCAGCATAATCAAGGAAGATTCTGATAGCTTCAAGTAGTGCAACAGGAGAAAAGGTCTCATCGTAGTCGAGGCCTTCAATCTAAGTAAAACCTTTATCCACTAGTCTTGCTTTATTTCGAATAATGACTCCTACATCATCTAATTTGTTGTGAAACACCTATCTAGTACCGACAATAGGATGATTCTAAGGAGGGACGAGGGACCAAACTTCATTTCTATCAAATTCTGCCAGTTCTTCTTGCATGGTTGTGATCCAATTAGCATGTTCAAGTGCTTCTTTAATGGATTTGGGTTCATCCATGGAGATAAATGCCGAAAAGTGACATTCATGTTGAAGAATTGCAACAAATCTAGTTTGCACACCAACGTTTAAGTTTCTGATTACTTGGTTTGGAGGATGATCCTTGGTCCAGACATGTAACCTTGGAAGTTCTTGAGCCGCAGACGAGCCGGTATCAATGATGGGATTGAGTTGTTCCCCTGAATGGTTTGAACTTGTGGATAATGCCCTCCCCCCCCCCCCTAAACTTCTGAACCGGAGAGATTGATATCATCATCAGAAGGGAACTCAAATAAATTTTCATTTTCATCATTGTTAATCGGATTTGAATCACTGAAGTCAGCAGCTGCATCTTGAAATCCATCCACATTTTATTCAAGGGAAGGTTGACCATTCTCCCCCTCAACCTGTGAAGGTTGAAACAGTTTGGAATCAAATAGGGGAAGAGTTGTAATCTGACTGGAGACATTTTGAGAAACATGAACATCCAGAGTGGCATGATGCCTTATACGAGATTTTGAATCAAGAGTTGTTTCGAAGGGTCCAAAGAGAGCTTCAAAATCTACTTCATGGATTACTTGAATGTTTGGACATTCTGGAGGAGGAGCATTAGACTCCATAATGTAAATGGTGACATGAGTGGGGCCAAAATTCTGAACAAAATTGTCATCAATGGTAACATCAAAACTTTCTTCAATAACCCGAGTACGTTGATTGAGCACTCGGTAAGCCTTTGATTTTGAGGAATATCCAAGGAAAATAGCTTCATCAGCTTTGGGTTGGAACTTGGTAAGCTAATCACGGTTATTCTTGATGAAGCATCTGCATCCGAAAACATGAAGAAATGAGATTATTGGCTTCCGTCCATTCATGGCTTCATACGGTGTTTTTTTGAGGCGCCGATTGATGATACTTGTATTCTGAGTAAAGCATGCAGTGGAAACGGCTTCAACCCAAAGATAGAGAGGAAGATTTTCAAAATTTAGCATTGATCGAGCAGCGTCCACTAGAGTTCTATTTTTTCGTTCGACTACACTATTTTGTTGAGGAGTGTATGGAGCAGAAAAATTATGGTCAATGCCCTTCTCGGTAAGGAAAGTTTCAATGGTGGAGTTTGTGAATTCTGAACCATTGTCACTTTGGATTCACCTAACTAGGAGTTTGATAAGAACTTCTATTCCTTTGATGAAATTTATGAGTTCGGAGGTTGTTTCTGACTTTAGGCTGAGGAAGAAAACCCAAGTGAACCTAGTGAAATCATCCACAATCACAAGAATGTACTTTTTGTGATGTAAACTTTCAACTGTTGATGGTCCACATAGATCAATGTGTAGAAGTTCTAAGGGCTTGGAG